GCTTCTTAGCTTCCTATAACCAAAAAAAAAAAAAAAAAAAAACCAAACCCATTGCTGTTGAGTCGATTCTGACTCATAGCAACCCTATAGGGCAGAGTAGAACTGCCGCATAGAATCTCCAAGATACAACTGGTGGATTCCAACAGCCAGCCTTTTAGTTAGCAGCCGTAGCTTGCCGTAGCTCTTAACCACTGCACCACCAGGGCTCCATAGACCCTGGGAATCTCTTTACCAGGCCAGGCAACTCTGATCTGTGTGGGTGGGGTGGGGTGGGGTGGTTGGGACAGGGAGGCAGGTGTGTTCTTAGTGTGTTTTCGAAAGGGGTTTGTAGAGCAGGCCTCCACTGCACTGTGGGATAGTGGTCAAACCAGATCCTAGGAGACTTGGTGGGCAGCAGGCCGGACTCAGTCCAGCCAGCCCAGCCCCTGACTGCTGCTGCTCAAAGCCCTCCCAGGGCCTCCTGGGAGTGCCTGTCCCCTTATGTGCCTCTGCTGGAGGAAGGAAGTGCTGGCTGAGAGCTGTCTCTTGGTGACAGGGGCCCTGTCAAATCCTTCACCCTCCCTCAGCAGTCACTGCAACAGAATCCCAAAAACCCAGGGACTGGTTGAGTTTGGGCTATGAGAAGCGTAAAAAGTAGGCAGAAGCACCAACCTTGTTCTGTCCCAGCCAGAAGGTCTGGGCTGCCCCACTGAGGCCTAGAGGAGGCAAGAGGCTTTCACTTCTACATATTGTCTTCCTGAGGCTTCGTGGTCTTCTTGCCATACGTGGATGCCCAGCTTCCACCACTGCAGGCGTCGGCCCTGCCATGCCTAGCAGGACAAGCCTGGCTTATTCTTCAGCACAACCAAAGTGACCGCTTCCTTGACTACCAATGCCCATCTGTCTGTCCATTCGTCTCTGCCTAGCTCTGTGATGGCCACTGGAATACAGCAGTGAACAACTGTGGTACTCATCTGGGTAGAGCTTGAGGTCTCACTGGGGAGAAGACTTGGGGATCAAGGCCCCAGTGTGCTAGTGTCCTGAGTAGGGGCTGGACTCCTGAGCCTGGGTTCCGTCATCGAGCCGTCCTTCCTTTAGCTACAGTGTTTTAACGTGTCTGCAGCACTTCCACACCCGTGTCTGTGAGCCCCGCGCTGTGGCTGTTTATGGAGCCTTAGCATGTCTCCCTTGACACATGGGCTCAAGGGGACAGTGTCTCACTTTCAGACGGCCTGGGAAGATTCACATTCTTGGAAAAGCAGAGGAATGTGAGGGCTAGATGCCTTAAAGGGCACAGGGGATGGTTTCTAAATTTCCAGACGTGGTTTCAGAGAATTGTAGTGCTCTGGGGTATATGCCTGAATGTAATTTATGCAGCTCCTTGTAACAGGGTGTGTGTGTATATATATGTAAGCTGAGTCCATGTGTCTACATACATTAAATTCATTCCACTCAATTGGGTGATAATTTTGTTGGTTGCTGTGTACTTGGCTCCAACTCATGGTGACCTTATATATAGCAGAACGAAATGTTATCCAGTCCCGTGCCATCTTCATGATCATTGGTATGTTTGAGTCCATTGTTGTGGCTAGTGTGTCAGTCCAGCTTATGGAAGGTATCCCTCATTTTTGCCAACCTTCTACTTTAGCAAACATGTTGCCCTTTTCTAGCTATTGGTCTTTCCTGATGACATGTCCAAAGTAAGCGAGCTGGTGTTGCCATCTTCATTTGCCAATCCTTATTGAGCACTTAATGTGTGCCAGGCACTGCCCTAGGTACTCTACATGCAGTCCCTCATTTAATCTTCACGATAACTCCAAGGAGGCAGGTACTGTTACCTTTCCCATTTTCCAGAAGAAGAAGAGGCATGGGGAGATTATGTCACTTGTCCAAGATCACAGTGCTAGTAAGTGCTGCAGCAAGAATTCTAACCCAGGTGGCCTGACTCCAGAGCCCTAGCTTGTAACCACCACGTGTGTTTGTATGTGTGTGTTTGTGTGCACCTTTCAGCCACATGGGCCTCCCTGTGTGTGGGAGCTGAGAGAATGTAGAAGAGATTGTTGGGAGGGACTCATCAACCTGCTCGGGCTATCTCTGCAGGCAAAGCAAAGTGATGTCAGCTCATAGACCAGGACCCTAAAGCCTGCTGTTAGGAGAGTGGGGGGTGGGTGTCATGGATCTAACGAGTGAAGTGGTTTTCTACTCAAGAAAACAGAGCCAAGGATGGAGCAGAGCTTTGTTGTCTTGGAAACTTGGTAAGAAGCATGGAGTGAGTTTTCTGAGGAAGTTTCATGAATTGGTCGAGTCTGAAGCAAGCAAGCAGGATGTTCCTGGCTTCCCTTCTGCCCTGTCTGCCCTGTCAATCCTTCAGCATGCTGTGCAATTCATTCTGGGTGCACGGACCTCCCCATGGAGGAAGCTGACTGCTCCCTCTTGGAGGAGAGAGAACCCTCCCAGATCTCACAGATGGCTAAAGGCCTTGAGAGGGGATTCAGTGGCAGCAACTTGTCCTGAAGGTCCCCAGGTGGCTCAGGGGAGCGGTACCCTGGGAGTCTTGGGGTGCCCAGTCTGTTTCCTCTCTCTGGACTTGGGTGTTCTGGTGCAGTGTTGGGCTGTGTCTTCTCTAGTTCTATATGTGAGCTGCTGCTCTGGATGCAGAGCTTGGGGAGCACTTCATCTGTGGAGGAATCACTGCTGCATATAGAATTTGTATGTGAAATGTAAAGGCAGTCTCAAGTCAGTGGGCTTGGTCAGACCAAACCACATGGGGCATCTTCTCGCCGGCCCTGACAATGTGTCAGTGTTCTACAAATCCTGAATACCGGGCCTTCCGGTGCAAGGAACCTGACTGCCCACCAGGCCCATGGCTAAAACAAGATCCCCAGGCAGGGAATCCCACGGTGCAGTAAACCCTTGGACTCTGGAGCCAGTCTGCTGGGGTTCAAGTCTTTCTTAGCTCCATGTAAGTGTCTGTGGTGAGCTGTTGGGTCTGTACTTACTGAATTCCCTCTCCTGGGTCACAGGCTAGTAACTAACCCTGAGTGCCTGCTGTGTACCAGGCACTGCACCGAGCACTTTAGTGTTACCTTCTACAGCCCTTGCAGTAGCTCTGGCAGGTGGGTTCTGTTATCTATTTCCCAGAGAAGGAATTGGAGGCAAAGGAAGGTTATGACACAGGTGTGACCTTGGGCAAGACACTTACCCTTTCTGAGCCTCAGTTTCTTCATTGGTAAAATGTGGTGAATAATCTTGCTGATCTGGGGTGTTTCGAGAATTGATGGGCACCAAGCAGAGTGCTGAGCACACAGTGAGCACTTGGCCGCTTCATAATATAGCTAGCGTTAGCCCCAGCTTGAGGAGAGAGCACACACCAGAAGAACAGTGACTGCTGGCTGCTCTTGTCCATGTCCCCGATCACAGTGTGATCACATAATTAATTATGTAATTAGCTCCTGAATGCTTTGGCTTTTTCGAGTCCAATGTAAGCTCCATGAAGGCAGAGACTGTGTCCACCTTGTCATTGCTGGTCTCCGGGGCTTTTCACCGCATCTGCCACAATGTGGGTGCTTGGTTAGAGTCTGTTGAGTGAATGAGAGAGGGACTGCCGTGCACAAGGAGCCCTGCGCAGCACAGGACAGCTGCCTCCTCTCGCAGCCCTTGCTCTCTCTGCCTTGTTGCTATGGCCTGAGTGTGCGGCCTTCATTCCCTATTGGAAGGGAAACTTCCTGAGAAAGGGCAGGGCTGGGTTTTGCCCAGTGCTGTCTTTCCCGTGGAGAAGGCACACACACAGGCCTGGGAGTGAAGCTGAGCCTCATTGCAGATGGCCCTGGTACAAAACGGTCTTTCTACTTAGGTGGAAAAGGGATAGTGTTGGAAGCCTTATTGGAGGTGGTCCCTGATCCCAAGACGTGAGTCAGCCCACACCTTTTATCCTCTTCGAGTGGGGTCTAGGATTATGACGACCTTCTGAGTTGTGTGTCTCTCCCTCCATTACACAGGTAAATGCTATTTCTGAACCACAGTAGCCCTATCTCTGGGTGGCATGGCTAGTGGCTGCCTGCACTCTGCTCCCCCTGTTCACTGAGAAAATTTTCCACCCTTGGCCTTGCTCCCTGCCAGTCCCCATGCGGAAGGATCATTGGCATGTGACCCACCCTGAGTGAAGTAAGTGCTGAGCTGCATTCTAACACAGCTCCCCATCTCACTCCCTCCCGGAATTAGTCCTGAAAGAGCCCATTGCCCTGGAAAACCACCCTGAAATCCTTCGATCCTCCATTCAGGGAAGGCTTCCATCCAGAAGTGCCAGGAAGTGGGGGAGCGTGAGGATGAGGAAGATGAAGCTGACTATGGATTTCCAGGCGGACTAGCCTGAGCTCCCCATCCCCAGAAAGCCCTGAGCTCCACCCACATCCTTCCCAGAAACATAAGCCGCTGCCTTTCCAATTTCCTCTGACACCTCTCCCATGTTTCCCGCCCCTAGCCTCTGCGTGACAACGCTGTGTGCACGCAGCCCATCTGGGGACCCGGGGATCCAACTGGGTATGCCAGCTTAATGAAATACTTGCAGTTTATTAAACACAGGCTTTCCTAAGCCCCAAGTGCCTGTGGGTATTTGAAAGATGAAGGTAACCCAGAGCTACCACAAACGTAATTGTTACATGTGTCCAGGCATTCCTGGTGCAACCTCAAACTCCAGCTCTTAAATGGCACACAAAATTAGCAACTTAAAGTAACTCCTAGTCAAACAGCAGAAGGAAATGTGGAGCAAGGCTGGGAGAGGCTCCCCACACCCCCTTACGGCCTCTAAAGTACATGAAGTTCCCCGTTACCTTGCATAGCTGTAACCACTAGGGCACTGCTCCATGCTTCCCCCCCCCACCCCCCCGCCAGCTACTCAGTGTTAGCAGAACGGGCTCATTGTGAGCGAAGCAGCTAGCAGACCTCTTTGTCAACCTTGCATGATGTAGCTCGAGTGTTTCAGGTCCTGTTTCAGTAAAGGCTTACTCTCGGCAGCAGCGAGGCTAGCAGAGTGCGCTGTCTGGGGGCTCCCTCTGGAGTTGTATTTCTGTTCTTCTTCCAGAGTTTGGCTGGGAAGAGCTATCCCAAGTCTGAGAAGGGCCTTGGAGAAACCCCAGATGACTGGAGTCCGCTCCCCTGAACACGAGGGAGGCCACTGCGGGGGGCGGGGGGGGGCGTATTTTCATATTCATCAGTCTCCTCAGCCTGTAAATCAGAGGCAATGGGCTGAGATGGAAGCAGCAAAGGCCTCAAGGGAGATGCCTCCCTCTATGTGGATCACCATCTGGACTCCAGAGAAGGCGACTTGTTGACAGCGCTCAGGGGGACCTGCCCCAGGTACCTGAGTGTATGCCCGTTGACCCACGTGCAGCCCCTGTGGCTCAGGGCCTTGAGGCAGAAGGTCAGCAGAGAGCTGCCCTTCTCCAGGTAAGGCTCCAGGTACAGGTGTCAGCGGGAGAGGCAGGGGAGCTTCAGCTGGAGGTGGGCGTCTTGCCCCTGGTTGACCAGCAGTGGGCGGGTGTCGTACTGCAGCCTCAGTGGGCTGTTGGTGAAGGCGGCCAGGCCGGTCATGGGGTGGCGCAGGCTCACCGGCAGGCCTGTGAGGGGCCTCTCCATCGGAGCCTGGAAAGATGGAACACAGACACACAGCCTCATGTGGGCCCTGGTGCACCTCTGCCACTCCCCAAGCAACTGTGTTTGCCCACCCTGGGGACCGGGGCCACCTCCAGTCAGACAGAGCCATGCACTCACTGTGGGCCCAGTTATTCTGCCCCAGCCAGGAGTGAACCAGGGTCAGTGTTGATAGAGCCCGTGTTGGGGTGGAGGGTCAGGCCCCCGGATATGGCCCCAACTTTGTCTCTCCCATGCTCTGTGAGTGGGACATGCCACCCACCCTGTCTGAATTTTAGTTTTCTTTTCTGTAATATAGATATGTCTGTCCTTATCTATGTAAGGGACATACCTTTATTACAGAAAAGAAACAGGACATACAGGCTTGTGGGGTGGGCTTTTGGTGGTCTTATTGCGACTTCCCTAGGTGGTGCAAACAGTTAAGTGCTCAACTACTAGCCGAGAGGTTGGCAGTTCAAACTAACCCAGAGGCTCCTTGGGAGACAGGCCTGGCGATCCGCTTCTGAAAGGTCACGGGCTTGAAAGCCCTATGGAGCAGTTTTACTCTGCACACATGGGGTCACCAACAGTCAGAATCAATGGCAACTAACAACAACATTGTCATTTGGGGACAATGTGGCCCTGCATATGGGAAGCGTAGGGCCAATAGGATACACCTTCCTTCTTCATATCTGACAGTTACACAATAAACCGCTGCCAAGTCCCTGCTCCGAGCCAGGCACTGAACTGGCTGCTGGGGATAGTTAGGTGCAACAGGGTACCAAGCCGTCGCCCTCAGGGGTAGCCAGCTAGTGGAGGAGACAGGTTCTTCTAGCACCAGGGGTTACAGAGAGGCACAGAAAAGGAAGTCCACTCTGGTCAGGGGGAATCAGAAAGTATGCCCAGAAACTGGAAGGATGAATAATAACAGTTAACACATTCCTGGTGCTTACCATAGCCCAGGCCAGGCTAAGTGCTTTACAGGGCGCGAGTGCTACAAGCTCACTGTTGGGGTCAGGGGTAGATCTTGCCCAAGAGGATGAAGAGTGCTAAGAGGCCTTTCACTAAATAACCGGTAGGAGCTCCATGGAGGGTGCTATGGATTGAACGGAGCCCTGGTGGTGCAGTGGTTAAGAGCTATGGCTGCTATCCAAAATGTCAACAGTTCAAATCCACCAGCTGCTCCTTGGTAACCCTATGGGGCAGTTCTACTGAGTCCTGTGGTGTCTCTATGAGTCGGAATCAACTCGATGGTAACGTGTTTGGTTTTTGGGTGTCCCTGAAAATACATGTTGAATTTCTGGATGCAATTCTGTTTGGAATGTTATGTTATGTTAATGAGGTCATACCGGAGCAGGGTGGGTCAAAACCTAATCCCTTCTGAGTTATAAAAAGAGAATAGACACAGAGAAACACACAGAGAGAGAAGACAGATGCCAAGGAATGCCAAGGAATGCCAAGAATTGATAGCAGTCACCAGAAACTAGGCAGAGATCCGTAGAAGGAATGGATATGACTGATAACCTGATTTGGACTTTCAGCCTCCTGAACTGTGAGAAAATAAATTCTGTTCTTTAGAGCCACCCCCTTGTGGTATTTCTGTTACAGCAGCACTAAGGAACTAAGACAGAGGGCAACTGGCAACATCTGCCACAAGGTGAAATGCACCCATCATTTGTCTCAGCAAACCCATCTCCAGTAATTTATCCTTTAGAATCTTAATGGCACACATGGGAAAGGCCACTAACAATGACCAGCCTTGTCCCTGCATGGACATGAGGACCACAAACTCTCTGCCGTGTCCACCAACCCCATGTGGCCCGGAAGTCACCTTCCACAGAAATCAAGGGCTGAGTGGTTTGAATAACTAATTAAACACTTTCCCAGCACCCGGCTTTTGCTCCCACTATTTTCTCTGCTAAGATGCACCTCCCATCTGAAACTCTGTGTATGCAAATACACTCATCTTTCAAGGCCCGGTTCAAATGTCCCCTTCCATGAAGCATTTTCCCCAGGGAAGGTGACCTTTCTCTGCCCTATGACTCCCACAGCAGGGACAGCCACCCCAGGGCACCCAGTCCATCCTTGCATTACCGTCAGAGGTCTGTGGGTCTGTGTCCTGCCTTCCCTGACCTCGTCTCCTCTTGTCTCCCCTGATGCCTCCAGAGGGCAGGGTCTGGTCTGAGCTGTCCCACTGCCCAGTGCAGACAGGGCCTGGCCAGAACAAGTATCTGGGGCACACCTGCCAAAAGCTAAGTGAGGAGAAGACCACACATGGCAAGATCGAGTCCAGACAGACCACAGATGGGGATCTGGTCCTTAAAGGCTGGTCCCAGTTAGTACAGGCTTGATGTCCCTCCAAACCCTGCACCCTCTGCACCTCCTGCCTTTTGGATGAAGTGGTGTAATGGCGGGGACCCTCCAGTCTGATAGCAAAGGGTGGGCCCTCAGGACACCCCCTTATCCCTAACACACAGACACATGTACGCCTCTGTCCACCTCTGTCAGTCACACAACAAACTGAGCCCCTGCTCTGAGCCTGGCACTCAGCTGGCTGCTAGGGATTCTCAGGTGCAACAGGAGACCCAGCCATTGCCCTTAGCCAGCAGAGTGCTTCTTCCTGAGGTGTGTGAAACAAACAGGGTCCAGGACAGTGTGCCTGGGTATCCATGCCTTTAGTCCTGGCCGGAAACTTAGAATTCATTTTTAGAACCCAACCGCATGCTCCAGGGACCTTGAAATATACCCTCAGCAAGAAGGGCTCGTCGCTGCTCCCGTGTGATCTTGGTCTGCTCTGCAGAGCTATCCAGGGCTGACAAATAGTAGCCCCTGAAGAGGGCCCCACGTGTCTCCTGAACCCCAGCTGTCCTTGGGGAAGCAGAAACCAGCCCTACTCTGCCACCTCTGGGATAAGATAGGAAGAAGCCACTCAGGGTGTATCTGGCCAGGAGCCGGCAGAGGTCTTCCTCCCTGCCTCACTAGGCCTTTGCCCCTCCCTGTGGATTTGAACCCCTCTGACCTCAACTTATCTTATGGCCAGTGTCTCTGCAGCTCTGAGCCCTGGGAGGGTGTGGGCCTGGGCTGGGCAGGGACGGGAAGGGCCGTTATGACTGCAGGGCTGGGACATGATGTGTCAGAACACTCTTCAGTTTGCTGCTTTCTTCCTTTTTCTCTTTAGGAAAGAAAATGAAAATATAATTTCCCACTTCAGAAGTGTAACCTCACTGCTGACAGGATGAAAAATCTCAGCCTGGGACCCTGCTTGGAGGGATCCCTAGATGGTGGGATTTCCTCCTGGATTTCAGCTTCACCAGTCTCTACTTTGTCCCCCAGACCTGGAGAGCTGCATCCAGGGTATCAGCAAGCTTCCGCTCTCCCTCTTCTCCCCCTGCCAGCCGAATGGGGCAGAAGCAGCATACGCATGTTAGCAAGCAGAGCCTTTTTGAATAGAGGGCTGGTGGGAGGAGCCCCCGCTGCATGTGGGAGACTGTGAGGTGAGTGCTAAGGCTGGACAGGGGTGGCCGAGAGAGCTGCAGGCAGTCCCCTGAGCATCTCAGGAAAGGGCAGGGCCTGAGGTAAGGGGTGATGGCGCTCCCTAGGTTAACCCCTTCTGCAGGAGGACAGCAAGGAGGCCCTCTTCGGCCCACCTGTCCTGGGCTCTGCTGGCCTCCAGGGTAGTCTGGAAGAGGTCACAGTGGGCTCTTGCCCAGCACTGTGGGCTCAGGCTTCCCAGGAAGTGACCAAATGATGATGTTCACCCTTCACACAGTACAGCCCTTCTTAGTCCCCCAGTGTGTTCTTGTCACCTTTATTGTACCCACCAACCTGCCAAGGAGGCAATAGACATGTGCCCATCTTATGCAGGGGGCAGCCAAGGCCCTACAGGGGCAGCGCCTTGTCCAAGTCTCAGAACAATCCTTTCTCTTCCTTCCATTCAACCCTGGCTGTCCTAGGGACTTTGCTCTTGGAGGATGTACAGGTGAGGGTGCAGACCAGGCCACCTCTATCTGCCAGCAGGTGCCTCCCTGATCTGTCTCACTGGTCCCTATGCCCACTGCTTACTTACTGCTCATAGGTGACCCTTATAGGCCCCCTCTGGGTGGCTGTTCAGGACCCCTGGCCAGCTCCCCTCCTGAAAGGGGCTACTCCTTTTACCCTGGGCACCTGTGTCTTACCTGAAACTGCAGTTGGTTGGTTGCTTCGTTCCGAAGGGGGAAAAACAGATAACTGTGAAAACAGTTACTCATTCCTGACTGCCCAGCCAGTGTGACCCTATTACTGGGGCTACCTCAGCATAAAGAAAACAAAAATCCTCACAACCTGACCAGTAAGCAACATCATGATAAATGCAGACAGACTGAAGTTGTCAATGATTTCATTTTACTTGAATCCACAATCAACACCCATAGAAGCAGCAGTCAAAGACGTGGTGAAACCTATGTGAAATTGAGCACTACAGATCAGTAAGTAAACACAAGTGAGCACTACAGATCAGTAAGTAAACACAAGTAAGCCTGGGTGTACCTTGCTTACTGGTTAATCTTTCCCTGGACGTGGGCCTAGAGGCTGAGCAGAAAGTGGCAGCTGAGAACTTCCAAGAGTCTCATAGGACAGGAGAGATACAAATTGGAGCTTAGGACTTGAAAAGCCAATATCCTAGATGAAAAGGAAATACAGAGAAGTGAGCCCATCATTCTACCCTGTCTTGAGGCATCTGCTAATTCCAAAGCTGGTGAAATGAGAAGCTGAGAAACCAAGTAAAAGCAACAGCTAAAAGGCTAAGAAGCTAAGCAGTTTTTTGCTGCCATGGAGCTAGGACAACCAAAATTAGTGTTCAGGGCCAACTAAGTAGGGGGAAACCTGTTAAACACACTAGGCTTTCAATGGAGACCCCTTAGGGTATACCTAGGATTCAGGGCACATGAAAATACACCAGGCCCTAAGAAAACTGAAACCCAGCCTCAAATGGTTTCAGTATCGCTTTTCTAACTGCCTTCTAAAAGAAA